AGGGTTGCTGTTGCCCCATGCCTTCCCCTTCTCGCACTTCTTTTTCACCAGGTCTAAGCAGGCGATGGCGTCCTCGACGCTGTTGTGTCCGCCCGCGCCGTGGCCGAGCTGGATCTCTCGGCTGAGGTATCGCTTGGTCAAGAACTTGAGCGAGTTCTTGTACGGCAGACCGCGAGGGTGCGGGAAGAGCAAGGAGGTGTCGACAACGAAAGGGTGTGCTAACCGCAGAGTCTGCAGGTCGGAGTCGAGCGAGTGGCCGACGAGGATGGTGCGAGGTGTCAAAATCTTCAATAGCCGCGCCTGGATATCTCCTAGCGTGGTCGTGACGGGATCAAGCATCGCTTTGGTGATGCCCGAGAACTGCGTCACGTAGTCTACGATGGGCTTGTCTGGCTTGACGAGCTCGTCGAGAACAACCTCGCCGTCCCAGTTGACCAAGCTTATGCGTGTCAGCGAGTACTCCTTCTCCCCAGTCATGCACATTTCGCAGTCGAGTGCCAGAACCTGGCGGCCTGCCGTAATGCTGCCTTGTTGGATATCGGCCTCTGGCACGTCGCCGTCTTCAAGCTCCTCAACTTTGGAATACACCCAGCCCTCTGGGGCCTCAGAGGCCTCTTGGCGTTGCGCTTCCGGGAGCATCACGGGATGTGGAGGGAAGCCATTCTCCGCCAGCTCCTCGTGGGTAGCGAGGAACTCGGTGATTCGGACTCTAGAGTCCTTCCATCCTCGAGGGTCTGAAAAGGGCTGGCCCCCACCCTTCTTCTCTTCCTTGCTCTTGGGCAACGGAGTCCAGAGCATCGACCGAATGGGCGAATGAAGCATGCCCCCCTTCTCGTTGGCAGGAGCTCGGATTGGCCACATAAGGGCGAACATATCTGCGAAGGTTTGTAACGGCTGAGGCAGTGCCTCTTTTTTGAGCGCCTGGGGGTGAGGATCTTGATCCGAGGGAACCTTTCGCTCCAGTGCCTCAGTCTCGTCCAGGTCATTGTATGCGGCAAGATCAACATCTGCCTGAAACATGGCCTCCTCTAAGCCGGGCACCATGATCGCGACGATCTTTCTGAACTCGGGACGGTGCTTGACCGCGACCCATTGAGGAGCTGGACCATCGGCGAATATGTATAGAATCAGGTCGCGGAGAGAGGGCAAGTTGACCTTTGCCTGCAGTTTGGCTTGGTCGGAGAAGACAATGGCGGGGTAGCGGCTCTTGTCGCGGCCGGGCACCTTCTTCTGCTTCTTGACAGGACGCCCGTTCTCAATGACCTGCCAGCCCTCGTCGTCGTCGTCGGGGTCCTGGGTACTGGAGCGCTTCCGACTGCCCGATGTGCTGCTCGAGGTCCGACTAAGAGCCGCCGATAGCCGTGCCGCATCGGATGTCGTTGCGCTGGTCATGTCGCCAACCGTCATATTCTCTGCGGAACAGTCGCTGGCAGCATTCCCCATCTTCTTGTTCCGGCTCTTGCCCGTGGAAATACCCGGTGTGTGTCCGCAGGTTCGACTTTCTTCGGGGTCGGCCGAGCGCAGGCAAGGCTGGAGGATAAGATGCGCGGGCGTGGCCGGGACTGGGTTGGAGAATTGCCCGCCTCTCTGACAGAGAGGCCACCGTTATCGTAAAGGCCTTGCTTGAGAACTGGGGAGAGCTTGCCGGTTCGCTGAATTTGGGACCCAAGAACGCGGCACGATGGGATTGAGTGAATGAGTGCGACAGAAAACTACGACAGAGCTAAGGGTAGCATGTGAAGTGGGGTGTCTCGCTAAATCACAGGCCTGAAAGGTTGTTAGCCCCAGCTGTCAGACAGGGATCCCCGCTAATATAATCGGAAATCCAGGTACTCACATGAAGTTCGACACTGTAGAAGGCTCTTGGATTGCTAGAAAATCGTATGCGTGAACAAGACTGAACGGAACACGGAGACTGCACCTTTCAAGTTTGAAATATAGTGAAGCAGAGATGTGTCTTCTTAAACAATTCGGAAGCATGTTAATTAAAAATAGTTCTTCATCGGGCGCTGTGGGTTATCAAGTATGCAAAGTCTTTGCCGTTGCAGCGTTGAGTACCTAAGTGATCTCCCCTAACAATAGCAACACTTCGTGTTCACCGGGCCGATTAGTGCTTGCATTGCTCTTCACCGAATCGTCCGGTGGTGCAGCTGAACTTCCCGTTTGGGAAGGCATGATGCAGCTATCCCCACTTTCAAATCCCTAGATTTGGACAGCTACCAAACCAGCCCTCCCTGCCGAGCGGAATTGAGATCTCTCCGTCATCTGGGTCAAGATTCAATGGCAGCTGAACAGAAAGTGTCTTTGCTGCGGGGAGTTCTCGAGTCGAGTCTTCACGTCCCTTATCAGTTTAGCTCCACCACGCACATTATTGCTAGCTATAGCTAGACTCAGCTGTCCGTATCTATAGGTGTGATATCATATAAGGCATCACTGTTGGTAGATAGCACCAAAGTCTATTTATTTTAAGCTTTTGTGCTGCTCTGGACATCATTGCGCCGGCGCACCTGACGACGCTAGGACCTTTTGCCTCAACACTAAGTCACAGCTGGAGTTAGCATGGATGACAAAGAACTCTATGCACTCAAAATAGCTCTGTGGAGTCTTACCTTCCTCTACCAGACGAAGATTATTTGTCTTGCCCTGGATGATGGCCTCAAGGCCCTGGATGTTGGCACCCAGATCCTTGGTCTTGCTCTCATAGTACTCTGTTGCGTTCTTGCGTTCCTGTGAAGCATGTTTGTTAGTCTTTTGGGTAGGTATTTTTTCGTGTGCTCCTTTAGCCTTTGTGTTGCCTTTGTGTTGGCTGATTTTGTCAGGGGGTTCTGCTCACCTTTTCTACATAGAAACCGGTGCCGACATCGACCAGGACTTTGTCCGGATCGGCGAGCTGGCCCTTGACATATAGAGAGTTTGTCAGAGGCACCAGGATATCTCGTTTTTCTGGGTCTCTGTGTCAGTGACAATGTGCGGGTGCAAGGAGGATCAAAGGCAACAGGGATGAAAGCTTCAGAGCTGACATAAACGCCCGGGGAATGTGAAAAAAGGGAATACCTTCGACTGATTGCGACTTCAAGATCCGCAGACACTCCTTGAACTGGGCCTGTGCTGCCGCCAGTTGTGTGTAGGAACCAGAAAGATGTTCAACCTCATCGTCAAGCTGCTTCTTGACTGCGCTCAGCTGGTTCGCGCTCAGCGAGTCGAGGCTCACTGTCGGTCACGTGTTAGTACCAGGGAGGCAGAAGGTAAATTCACGACCACCCCAAATCATCAGGTGGAAGATGTGGGGCAGGGGGCGGGCGTTGCCATACCTGTCTCCTGGCCTTTTGCGGTTGATGACATGATGGGTTGTGAGTTCTGGCTCGGACTCAAAGGCTTCAAAACTTGGCACCGGGGTCTTTGTTTGCAGTTAACCTGAGGTGGTTTGAGTCTTTTTAGCTCAAAGTATGGCAAGATCTTGTTTTCCAGTGAATAAAGCCCGTGAATCGTGATAGGTACCTGATTATGAAAAGGTGCGGGGCACAAAGTTTGTGATTTAGCCGCAGCGATATGTATTTATCCGATTCACCACCGCTAAAATGGCGTAAACGGATCGCTACAATGTCTACATGCATCATGCTACGGCCATCTCCGGCTCTCATGTAGAGTTTCAACTCAAAGCATAAAGGCACCTTCATCGTTCATACGAATGAATATGTGCCTCTAAAAGTGAGTTATCATAATATTCTATCTTTTTACGGGCCAAAGGTCTCGGCTGCTTTCCTGGCTATCTTCAACAAGTCGTCTGATTTTTGTCACCTCGGCCGCATATCTCCATGGCAGAGAATATAGACTCAACAGCTGTACACTTCAAGGTGGCTGGCACGCCCGGCGTCGGGTCCGGCAGAAGACTGGCAGCAACAAAGTCTTTTGCGCCCGGGGAAACCATATACGCGTTCAAGCCTCTCTTGGCAATGCCGCACGGCGCGAGCATGCGCACTACATGCAACTATTGTCTGGTCAGCGAGAATCCTACCCGCCCCGCCGCCTTTTCCATTCATGCCTTTTCTGTTGCCGTCAAACTCTATCCCTGCACGGGTTGTCATGCAGCGGTCTACTGCAGCAAGATATGCCAGAAAAGACATTGGAAGGAGCGTGAAGGGGGCCTCCACAAACTCGAATGTCCCGTGTTCAACCGAGCGCGCGCCAGGGCCGGCATGGACTGGCTGCCGACAGCGGTGCGCGCGACGGCACAAGTACTCCTTACCACCAGATTCGGGGATGCAGCCATGATTTCTGCCTTCGGTAATGGACCCGACAGCCTCGAGGGGCATGAGGAGGAGTTCAAGAAGGATAAGGAAGCATGGAAAGACATCAAATTGCAGGCCATGGGTGCCATGGCATACACCGGATTTGGGGACTTTGACGAGTGGGCTGGTGAGAAGGCTGCGCCCATACTCTGCAAGATCAAGACGAACGGATTCTTGGTCGAAAACGAAGCCACTGGTATGGCTGGTCTCCTTCTTGAGCCTACCGCGGCCATGATCAACCACTCGTGCGAGCCCAACGCGTGCGTCATGTTTGATTTCTGTGGGAGGTACGCCTCTGTTGCGGCCATCCAGCCGATCAAAGAGGGCGAGGAGATCACCATCTCATACATTGGTACGTTAACTGTGAGCAACACCAGCTGCCTCGAATAGCCTCACTGACGCACAACGTAGACAGCACCTTGCCCAAGGAAGCACGGCAAAAGGCGCTCAAGAAGCAGTACCACTTTGAATGCACCTGTCCCAAGTGTAGCGGCATAAGATAAGAAAGTTCCCTAAACGACGACCAAATGCATCAATGAGATGTTTCTGATTATCATGTGATCTATGCATGCATGTCTCCGTGGGTGGTTAAGTAAAGTGGTTAAGTGGATATGAATGAATCTACTTCCTTCACATGACAATCACCATTTTCTCACTACATACGCCCTACTTAAGCTGCATTATGGCCGAAGTTGCATCAATAAATAAGATGGTCGAGTGGCGCAATGGTAGCGTGTGGTCCTCCTATAAAATAGGGTTCCAGACTGAGGTTGTGGGTTCGAGTCCCATCTCGATCGTCGCATTCATTTTTCTCTCTCATCCCTCCACGTGGATACACCACGGTAGTCACTTGATAAAATCATCCCTTTCAGATCACTTCATGGGTTCAAGATGTTAATCAGATTCCCAAGGCAAACATCACCCTGAAACGGGTGAGTTTGGCCATTGGGAAAAAAAAAAGTTGACTAAGCAAGTGCACGGGCTGAAAGAAAGAACATGTTTAGATGTTTAGAAGCCGAGACAGACATTAGATCTTAGAGAAGAAACAAGCCACTTTTACCATTGAAGACTGCTTCCAGGTTTGGTCTTTTCCGGCCTGTATTTACCATTGTTTTAACCCTCTAAAAAAAAACATCTCTACTCTTCAGTAACTAACACAAAGCCATCATCAAAGCCCATCCATTATCCCTCCCAAAGATTGGTAGTAGACAAATCCCAAACCCCTTTCTCAACTGGAAACCGAGTATTCCGGAAACCCAATCACGTCCTCAACGACAGCAGCGGTATGAACCGCTTGCAGATCCCCCTAGGCATCATAACGTCCACAACTGAGTTCATGGAAAGGGATGTCCGGAAACACAGTCTGCCAGTCCTGTCTGACCCGCGGCCCGGAACCAAGCTGGCCAGCCGTGGCACCAATGTAGACAGTCTTTGCAATACTCGCCTTCGAAAGGCTCTCCCTCAAGCCCACCAACTCTTCCGCCGACTCAGCGATGGGGGGACTATCCAAGGCCGCAAGGGTGAGACGGCATCCGAGGTTGATGAGATCATGAGTCCTTGGTTTGCTGGCCGTGAAGGCGCGCGCGAGTGAGGCGATGCTGCAGGTGGGGAAGAAACCTCTGACTCTGTATGGGAATATATTGTTGAGAACCCTTCCTCTCGTACCGTCGTCTGACAAGCACGATTTCATCTTCATTCAGGGGAAGGAGGCGGATGTTTTCTAACTATGGCCGGGCAAACTTACCCCACCGGAGGACCAGGGAGTTGTGATCGCTGCAAGCCCAAGTAGCCCAAGTAGCCCAAGTAGCCCAACGTAGGACTTGCTATCGAGTCCGTACACCTTCTTCAGATCAGCATTGAGGTCCTGGACTTCCACGCCAAGCGCCTGGGACGATATGGTCTCTGGGGTTACAAACGCCCACATCTCCAAGCCGTTCTCGGATGGTTGAACGGAACCCTCGGTGACGCCAGCACAGGCGTCTAGAATGGCTTTCTCGACCTCCTCCTCCGGAGCAATCCGGAAACCGCGAATCTTCAACTCCCTGTCAAGCCGACCCAGTACAACCAGTGATCCGTTCTCGAGGAGAAGCCGCGGTCGCTGGTACGGTACATGCGTAGACCATTCACGTGCATGGTGAAGCTCCGTGCCGTGGCTACGGGCCTGTCGCAGTAGCCTCGTGTCACCTGAGCCCCGGCGATGCAGATTTCACCCTCGGCGCCCGGCCGCAAGACGTACGCGCAGTCGGAGTAATTTGCATGAAAGAGATGCGATTCGTGTCGATCGCGTCGGTCAAGTACTCCCCTACGAGCTGGCGGGGGTGCTGCGCGAAGCACAAGCAGGCGCCTGTACAGAGCGCTGTCGTCCACTCCAGAATGGAGGCGTCGAAGGAAAAGGAAGCCAGCTGCAAGACGCGTGCGCCGAAGCCGCTCTCAAACACATCGGCTGAAGCGCGCACAAGGGCCGCTAGGTTGACATGCTCAACCATTACTCTCTTCGGTTCTCCCGTCGAGCCTCACGTATAAATCACGTACGCGAGGTCATCGCCCGCCGTTTCGTACTTCTCCTACCGGAGACTGGCGTCGATGATGGACTCCGTATCTGAATCCATTAGTTGCGAGGGGCTTCGCATATAAAAGGACATCAAAGCCATTCTGTGGACACCAGCCTGAGCATGGTCAAGCGGTCAGTGGTCACCCGACAACGTCCTACGAAAAGAATTCAGGAAACCGTCAACAACATGCCGGCTTTCAGTGATGACATGTGCCTCTTGTCTGGGCCGCAGAGTCAAGAGGGGATCTGGAGCGAACACCAGACAGACCCTCTGAGCACGAAGTACAACCTCAACCTTTCGTGGGACCTCAGCAATTATGCTGCTAGTTCGACATCCGAGATCACAGAGATTGTCAAAGGTACAAGCTAAGCCTGTAAGTTAAGAACAGTGCGGGGTGCCTGAATGACGGAAACATCTAACTTGCACGGTTTCTTCAGAAAGTATGGGCCCGCACACAGAGTTACATGGATTGCCAGGAGGTGTTTCTAGCCTACTGGCTAAGTGTGCCTTCTCTTTCGCCGCCATTACCCACATAGAGCAGATACTAATCATGCCGTATACTTCTCGTTCGAGTATCAAATGGTCACTGCGACTTACATCAGTGACTTCCCTCAACCCGTATGACAATAACTACCTACCTAACTAGGTCTCCCACCTTCACACCTTCCATTAACGTAAGTATGCATCTTATGCTGTCAGACGCGCCAAAAATAGGCCGCAAACACTCCGTGCCGAGAGTAAGCCGCACTATAATACAGCCTTAGGAGTAAGTAAGCCGCCGGGGAACTTCTCCGGGCGCTGAGTAAAATGAGTAGGTAGAGTGCGGCGTGAGCGGTGGTTCGGACCTGTGAAAAATGCGGAGTATAAGATAAAAGGAAGCTAGGAAGTGAGGTATAGGAATTTGATCTCTGGACGCGTAGTGGAAAGAGTGAACTGATAGACAAATCGGGGCGCCATAGATGCGTGACGTGTCATCTGTCCTTGGGTGGAGCAATTGCCATATGAGAAACGGAACCGTATGAAAAGTGAAAGAAAAGGATATGAGAAAGGAGCGGTGAGAGCACACGCGTCCTGTTCGTGAACCGGTACTCGATAAGTGATTTTCTAATCCATCATGATGATGAGCAGTCGGGTGGCCGCAGCCAGGCCCAATTCTATGGCGTCGTCTGTACCAGCATCGTGGTCTTGTTGATCGTGATTACTGGTTCCTCGTTGTGCATATAGATACCGTGTTCCTGAGCGGAGGCTCCAGGGTAGGCAACACGTCTACTTACCCTGTAGCCGCACCCGCACACCGGAGCGAGGAGGAAGGATCTAGGCAACCACCCCAAAACACCGCACTCTCAGTACAGTACCCCTGGCAACGAGGATACAGCTCAGAAAACTGTCCCGCCGAAGCCTTAGGTAGTACTACTAGTCACCGACCCGGGGAAACACATATTGGGAGCGGCCTTAACGGCAGGAACCCTCCAAACCCCTAACACAGGTGGTACCTATCTGTTGCACTAGGCGCATAATGGCCACAGCAATCGGCGCAATGCGGCATCTATCGTAGCCTTGATCGTCGTGTACGCACTTGTCCACGATCCCCTCTTCACTTCTGGCACACTCTGAACAAAGATTTCTAAGTGTCTCCTCGTCTTCATCGATATTGCCAATCTTGGCATGGCTAACGGGGTTGCCCCTTTTGCTCCATAGTTTGGCGGGTTTCTCATGGCTGGGGGGAGGCTCGGCGATATCTACGGTCATAGACACGTCCTCCTTTTTGGCATGACTCAGCAACGCCCAGGCTACTACAGCGCCATGGCAATGGCCGGTATTGGGCTCTTCATCTCACTTTTCTTGCAAACTCAAGGTGGGCATGGCGAGCAACAACAGGCGCAGCATGTAGATGAAAGGCAAGAGACGACATCAGACAGAACCCAGATGGAGAAGTCGTTGATGGATGACAGAGATGGCCCGCCCGGGAACGAAGCCGAGAATAAGGGGGACAAAGTAGACTGTACTGATAACGTGACGGCTGACTCGTAGACCTCCGTCACCTCCTTAAGCACCCAGATAGGTATCCATTTAAGGCAGAATTGAGACTAGACATGTCAGACAAGCCAAGATACAAACTCGCATACCATGTTGTGAATCACGGACGTGCAGCCATGGTTGCCATTGCTACCTACTTCCGCAATAGCATCCATTGAATATATCGACCAGTGAGTGCACGGTCAATGTCAATGATGGGTTGCTATCCGTTTTAGTGCAATGGAGGGCACGGCTAATCCAAAGAGCAAACAAGGCAGGGAAAAAGGGGTGCGGGAGCGCAAAGAGAGAAAGTCAAAAGTCAAAACAAAACAAAATGAGCTCACTCAGTGGCGGAGCAGAAGGGAGGGCTGACACATAGGAATGAGATTGGCAGACGTACCTCATGTCGCTCCTTCGCTTGGCTCCCTGCTTCTGTGATGAACAAGGCCTTGGGATCAATGCCCGTTCCAAGGCGGGAACCTCGCTGTGGAATATCGGTTGACACCAGTAACTCATGGGAGGCGGGGAATGGAGGCCTGAAATGTTGGCTTGAGTATATATTCTACTCATCATCATGTAGTTATCGGGATTGGTTTTCAGCTCGGCGTGAACTCGCCACAGAAGACGTAGCATATAGTCGTCAAGCCCTCGCCGGCACGGGAGCAATTTCCGAGCCCAAGAAGGGAGCATTCCTAGATCAGGTCCTTTTCGCGTGTTTGGCATTACAAGAGCTTGATAGCCGGCTGCAGAAGCCGGAGCATAAAGTGGAATTGCGTTGTGACTTGGATAAACTCGTAGCGCCTCGACACCCGGTACAATGGTAGAGTGTCATGGAGGAGACAGCCAATGATTACGTCACCAACTCCCACACCTGCATCAAAATCATGATTGGCCAACAACTGGTCCCGGCCGGTGCAAGCTGGCAAGCGGGCCCGTGCAGAGTCAGCAGCAGCCTCACCTCTGAGGCTGAGGTAAGCTAAATTGCCTGCCGGGTGGGGATTTAGTGCGACGCGGTAAAACACGGTAAACGCGTCTCCCTGCCGATGTCAGGAAGGGCTGCCAGTTGAGCGACCACTCTATCTCAGGGACCGAGTCAATAAAGTCGTTGTCGACGTATCGCTGGGGTTGAGTTGCTCATGAGTTGCATTGGACTGCTAATTTATCACTCTGAAAACGCCAATTCTTGCTCGCGACGCAACTGAAAAGGAAACAATGCTAGGCGTTAGCAG